CCCTGCCAATGGCACTGCCGCTTATCCTCGGCCGTCTGGTTCGCCACTGCATGTCTAGATGTTATGGCAATTTTTAATTTTCCACGAACTTCTATAGGTAAAAATTGAATCTTTTTTTTTGTTTTGAAAATGTATCCTTTCTCTTACCACTTTATAAACAGTGTATACATATATATTGATACATATATGTTTCCGGTGCAGTTCAAATATGGGCTTTTATCATTCTTATATATTTGGGCCTCAGACAAAGGTCATTATTAATTATCTTATGGGTCAATCCAGCCATGAATGAAAGAAAAATAAAGTACTCGGTAAATTTCCAATTTGACTGGTCATCACATACATATATAGTCACTACAACTACAATTACAACTTGCTTTTATACTAAATCTGGGCTGTCGGCTGAAAATCTTGTTGCAACCGCCTCAGCTTCCCAAAATTCCCACAAACTTCCAACTTTGCCCCCCCAAAAACAACGAACATAAGAAAGTGAACCATCCACTTTGACGGCCGCAACCAAAGCTCCTAAAGAGAAGGGGTAAAAATGGAATTACCGAACAAGGAAAGTCTTTCCTCCCTTGGCTAATTTCATTTTCTGCTACGCCTTCGGCATAACAACAGCTAAAAAGGGTAAATATTAGAATAGATATTAGACAGTAGACACTATACTAATATAATATAATAAGGTCTATATATTTTGAGATCTTCCGAAAATGCCCCTGACGGAGTTAGACCCTGAAGTTCTTGCCGACGTAGGTCTGACCAAACTGCCAGTGAGATGGGACGATGTTCCAGGAGGTGGAGGTTCTACGGTCACTGCCTGTGACGCGGAAGGAGAGCGACTGACCAACCAAAACGGAGTTAGATTGCCAATTCTGCCCCCAGTTCCTGCTCATGCTCATCCACCCAGTCCGTGACCCTTTCACGCTCACCCTCACTATGTCTCCGGCTCCGGCCACGTTCGTTATCAGCACCAAGTTGAAGTAACGGAACCCGTTGATCGTGAAACGTATCCCTCCTCTTTTCCGGCATGGCACCCTACATAAGTAAGCCGTACGCCGCGAGGTCAGTTTCGTCATTTTCCATGACCATGAACTTTTTCTTCTAGGGTTTCACAACTCAAGGGCTTTTTCCTATCTTCTTAATCGTGTCCTATGCACTTTCTCGAAGGGGATTAAGGGTGTTTTCTTACCGGCGGTAAGCGACGGGAACGATTCCGGCGCGATATTCGGCGATTCTAAGGAACATGGGCATGGCGAGATCGAAGTGAGGCCTCGGAGGATTGCACCAGCCGCCATTGTCGCTGGGAAGAGCGAAGTTCGGAGGGCAGAAGTTGGTAGCCGTGATGAAGATAGAAGGGCTCCCCGAATGGCACCATGTGGGATCGTTTGCGCATTTGATCTCGAAACATGCTCCGCAGCGGTAGCCATTGTTGAACAAAGCTGTGCTTAACGCCGCTGTGCTGACTCCATAGCCTTGGCTGTAAAGGTTTCCGTACCCACAAGCACCCCCTGTTTTCAAGACAGAAGAGCAAGTGAAAAGTGTTCTTTTAGAGTTTATTGTCTCTGGTATGTGATTGAGAGAAAGCTAGGGTTTTGAGGCGATTTGCAGGCATGGTTTCTTGAATCTCGGCGTGAACTGTGCCGTTTCTGGGTTAAGTTTCCGATTTGGTACAGACATTTTACAATGTAAGACGAAAATAACAAAATGGGTCTGAGTCTTTCTCCTAATGTCATGGTAAAGCCGAGAATATAAAATCTTTCAAGAAAACACTGCCGAAATAGTTAATGGTGGTTCTTGATGATCAGACATACCCATAGTTCCTGAAGCATCAGAACCTCCATAGAAAGTGGCATGAGCATTCTGCCAAGCTCCACCTCTGTACACACCTGGTATTCTTGCTTCGGACATTGATGTTAAACCCACAAGAACGGTCAGCACAAAGACCCAACCAGACATTGCCATTGTCAGAGAGAGAGAGAGAGAGAGAGAGAGAGAGAGAGAGAGATGAGGAAGAAGGCAGATGATGAGTGGTAAATTGTTCGTGCTTGTGGAGGAGGGAATGGAAGGTGTATATAACTACATGGGAAAAATATTTTTTTAATAACAAGATTATACCACATAAAAATGGAATTCAAATATTCTAATTAAAGATTCAAAATTTTGGATAAAAATGGAATTCAAATATTCTAATTAAAGATTCAAAATTTTGGACCCTACTAAACATATTGCATTAACATGATTAAATGTCTATATTTTTTGTCATTTCTTCTATTGTGGACCAGAACATGTCTCACCCCCGAGCGTGTATCTCACGGCCCAATCATATTTGTATGTGTACGGATAAAGACGTTTAACTCCTGTCGGATATGAAGCCGTTGCTTCACGCGCCTCTCACTCGCGTCAAACTAATCTTTGTTTTCGTCCCTTTCACTACAAAATTCTGTTTTTCTTTCTTACGCTTACGCATTTACGCTAAATTAAAAAAAAAAAGTGGCAAATATAGGCTGCTAAAGTTCGCGAATTATATAATATTACACTATCATATCCATAATTATTTATGGGGAAAAAATCTACCTAAGAATTTGAAGAAAAACCTTAATACTTTTAAAAAGAAATTATAAAAATTGTTTCCCATCCCAGTTTTTATAATAAAGAAGTTATTATATATGGTATGACTGATTTTTAAGTCACATAATAATATTAAATGCATTTTTAAAAAATAAAATTCAAAAAATATATGTTGTGAAGTACATGTATAAACGCGTTACAGTGTACATAGGGAGGTATCGAGGTAGGACCGTAGGACTACTATCCACAAAAAAAAAAAAAAAATCAAATAGACAACGAGCCAACACTGGTCTGTGATATGACGAATTTAGCCCTGGGAAAGTTACTGGCCCATGATAACAAACGGGAGGAGATTGGGGGGGCAATTGTGGGAACAAAGGAAAGAATAGGGGTACGGGAGGGAGAAGCGTGATTAACGGCTGGGATTGGAGGATAAAGAGTGGGGTCCACATGAGAGAATCCGAACCAAACTGGAAGACACTTGAAGAGAAAGAGAGTCCGACGTGGACTATATGGGTCCCGCATGATTACCGTAATCATCGGAACATGTTAACCGGCGAGTTCGTTTTAAAATTTTAACTAAAGAGTGTCCGACGTGGACTATATGGGTCCCGCATGATTACCGTAATCATCGGAACATGTTAACCGGCGAGTTCGTTTTAAAATTTTAACTGAGTGAAGGTGGGTATACCGATAATAAATTTATTAAAACGAATATCTAAATAAATGAGAGTCTAAGCTCAAACCATACAATAATTTATTATTGAGAAAAACTGTGTTTTCAATGTGAAAAAAAAAGAAAGGAAAAAAGATCTCGAGCCACACGCTATTATTACTATACGCATGCTTGCGTATTTTCCTCTTATTTCCCCTAATCAATTAAAATTTTGAAATAATAAATACATTATAATTCTTTTTCCCTTTGAGATGGTATATGAAAAAAATTACCAGCGCAGTTGTTTGTTTTACATTTTGAAGTTCAACAAACAAATAATTTTTACGTGATAAAAATTAAGTGTATGGGCGCAAAATTAAGAATTTTTAATTTTTAATATAACTTCTTCAAAAGTTAAAACGGGTGTAGGAGTTCAACCTCCCCCACGTGCTTCTCCACAACACTGTCTTTTGTACCAAAAATGATACGTGGGCCAATAATATCCTGACGCGTGTGCAACAACTCCAATTTCTTGGTGGAGATGGGATCCAATGACGCAATCCTCACCCTACCAAACGTGGGCCAATACAAAATCCGGTATTGTTGCTGTTATATTAACATTGTATTATTCTCTTTTTTTTTTTTCTCGGAAAAAAATTAACATTTTTTTTCTAATAAATAGAATGCATGGATATTTGTATGAAGAGTTCAGATACAAATTTATATAAGTTTAACATGTAATTTGATTACTACATATTATATAGTATCGTATGATAACATGCTATTATTGCAATAATTTGAGTGAAGCTACTTACATATATTGAAAATCGAGACACAATGTTACAAGCGCTGGATTTTCAGTGGCATCTATTTGGCCCCTTCGATGAATTCATTCTCCTTAATCATTTTTGTTCTTGTTCTTTTCGTATTTCTAAAGATACGGTTAATTAGTCAAATTAATGATATTAGTTTAGGTTAAATTAAATACAGTATTTGAGTTGGTGGTGGGGCTATATATAGGTTAAAATAACAGCAAGCAACAATACCGGATTTTGTATTCAGATTAACAGGTTTTCAAAGTAGTATTGGTTACATAAATTGTTGTTCACCTTGGTGAAAAATCCCAGGTGTCATTTTGTCCACATATATCGTGACGATTAAGAAACAATAAGATGGGATACAAATTTCTATTTCTATTCAGCGCTCAAACGCAATTTTGAAATTTTGAGCCAAAGACAAAGATATATGGCTAAGTCCATGTGATATTATCACTGTTTCTGCCTTGGACTCGCAAATCTTATAATCATTTTTTTATTTTTGGATTGAAATAAGTTGTCACTGAGAATATAGGCGCCATTATACGAAGCATGCAGCTAGCATGCGACATAGCTCATTATAACGTATGCTGGGTTAGGTGGGAATATCAAATAGTGGAAGTGAATGCTTGCATAAGTTGTTTATATAGAACCAAGATCTTTGTTGGTTCACTTATTGGAAGACCGCTAATGATTAAACTGTTGAGCTTTCGGGCTGCAAAACCCTATCCGAATAAGCTGGTTTTATATGGTTTAAAATTAATATCTTTATATATTGGAATAAATGGACAGAGACATTAGAGGAAGACTGGTTTTGACTAAACGAGCCCAGAGAGGGAGACAAACATGTCAGCTTTCCTCAATAATTGTCTGAAAACGAGTTAAAATTGTCTGAAAATGATTTATGGTTAACCATTGATGCCTTACGATTTCGTGGAAAACACTTGGCTTAATTAATACTCGTAGATCATATATATAAATATAGAATATCATTCCAAAATTTTATAGCGTATATGATAAACCGGTAGAATTATCAGAATCCGTGAATAAAATTGGTTGTACATATAAAAAATGGATGGACCACATAATTACTTCAGCAAAATCATTCATTTCCTTTTCGTTTTGTCTCTCTCTTTACGCAAATCTCCCCAAGGATGAAAGAATTATTAAAATGGGAAAATGAATATATGATGCGAGTAAAATAAGATTTGAGATATGATGGAGAATAATAATAGATATAATATCATTATACCAAATATTATATATCTGATTTGTTTCTATTATGTCTATATTTCTTTTTTACTCTGTTTCTTAACTTTTCTATAAATATGTATTTCATTTTCATTATAATGTAACCAGAATAAGAAGAGATATAACAATAAATAAAAGTAATTCCGTTCATTTCTTTATTTTCGTATTTTATTTTTTTGCGAGAATTACATGAAAAGTTAAAGAAAAGCGTCGGAGCCCACACAAGTAAATAAAAAATTGGAAAAATGTTCTATGGAAATTAAAAATTTTTAAAAAAATTATTTGAATATATATATATATATATATATATATATATATGTATATGAATTGAGGCTAAAATTTTGTACGAGTGACTTATTTAAAAAAATTGGAAAAATGTTCTATTGAATTGCATTGCAATGGGTCACCTTCAATTAAAGCAACCTACTATCACAACTAACATAACGACCATTCTTTAAACGGCGACCAATTTGATTAAAAGAAGGTTCGTTGGCTATGAAGTCAGTTGAATCAGACTTTGAGTAATTCAAGTATCGTTCCTCGTCAAACGCCGTAGTTCCAAGCTTGATGCGAACGGCATCCTTGATCATGTCTTAATCCGACAAAAATCTTTTTAAATGTGAAATTAATCATAGTAAATATGGGCCCATCGCAATCCCTGGCCCACAAGTAAACGAGGCCCAATCTCAGAAACATCTTTTGATCCTTGTATGACGAAAAAGCCCTTGACCTTCAACCGAACATTGACCATGGCAACCTCGCTTGAAAAAGTTGCAGTTTATACAAATCGACCAAACAATGAATCGAACAGCACAATTAGATTAAAAATAAATAAAATCAAATGAAATAACCATTTCCTAATGGGGAGGAATTACATGAATAGGTGTGTGTGTCGTCAGCTGCATAACTGAGAGAGTGTCCGCCCCCTCCCTGCCATTAGCCATGCACGTCATGCTCATACTGTTCCCCCTCTGTCTCGACTGCAACAATCAATCACCACACGCCATAACCATCAGCCTTTTTTTTTTAATTAAAAAAAAACAGTACGGACGGCTGGAAAATCACCTGAAAGAACCTCAATTCCACATTCTATTTTCACAAAGTTTATGGAAAGGATATGCATAGGTTTCTACCTCGCAGTACACTTCTTGGGTTTTGCAGCTCCACAACGACGTGGGAATACAGGTGAGGTAATGGCACCATGAACAATGATTGTTCAGATCCGTCCCCCGAAGTAGCACTACCAGCCCGCCAGTGTATCTGATCATATCGACATAACTTTCACATCAGAGATCCAAAAGGAAGAACGGTACGTTAGAATATCGATGTGTGTTGAAGAGGCGAGGCGGCGATAATAGCATACCCGGCTATCAAAAGTACTAAAGACATGACCCAAAGAACATATTGGTACGTCTTGTGTTTGGACTTAGCAGACGATGCGGCATTTCCTCTGGATGCACTCTTCTGGTTGAAGTATCCATACTGAGGACGGATCAAGAACACAAACCCTAGGAGAAAACCGGAAGTGAATCCTCCGAGATGCGCAAAGTTGTCTACGTGGGGAAGGATACCCACAGCTAAATTTACTGCTATGATGAAGATGAGAGTCAGAAGAGCTGCAAACTGCAAATGGGAAACAGATGATGAAGCTTTCAGCACAAGGGAATGTGAAAGTTCCGACCATTTTTGTATCCGGTTATTTCGATAACGTAGAAATCACAGTTACCTTATTGGCGTATATAGTCCAATTTGTGAGGAGCTCAGAAAGCATAGCGCCAAGCAAGCCAAAAAGTGCTCCAGAGGCACCAACAGAGATACCCGTCCGGTTAAAGAGAGAAGACAACAAACTTCCACCAAAACCAGAGATGATGTAGAGCAATCCAATGCGTACTGTCGATAAAAGTTTCAGAAAAGGGTGAGAAGGTTTTTCGGCTGTGGAAACAAAAGCTGTTCCATGCAGCAATATCATGCTCACGGTTTTCATGTTAGCTGTGATAAGCATGATGTCCCTATATCCGGAAAAGGAAGACAGCTGAGAAATATAATATAACCAAAATCATCAAAATGCGGTCTTTAGCATATGTCGCATGGCTTGATTGCAAAACACAGCATTTCATGATCAACAGACACTGCAAAAGCTATGAACTTCCACGAAGAGACAGAAAGAGCCGAGATTCAGACAAATGGTTCATCCTAGAAGATGGGAAGAAGTTGACAACAACTGAGAAAAATCTGGAGCATACCAAATCCAAATTCTTGTTCAAGTCGAATTCCAATGAAGAGAAGGCTCAGCATATTGGCAAGTACGTGGAAAACTCCAGCATGCAGCCATATGCAAGTGAATAAACGCCAGACTTGGTGCTTTTGGACAACCATGGAAACCTCTAAGGCGCCCATTTTCTCCAATCTGGAAAGCAAAAGGCACCATTGTAACGCATAAATGCAAATTTCACGCTCCGGGTACAGCTAAACAGCTGGCTGAGAATCTTAACCTCACAAGCATATGCAGCCATAGGACAACTCCTAGTGAATACTACATGAAAATGTACATTAAGTTCCGAAATGTAATCAAGTATGAATTATCACCACAACTCCCCTTCTGAGTTAACTGTAAGAAACTACACAAAAAGCAAAGGTTCAACTAAAATTGCCCAAAACATGAAATCACATAAATTTCTTGTCTGAGTTCTGAGACCACATGGAATCTAAGGTCTAGAACAAGTAGCTATATTCAACATGACAGCTGCTAATGTCGATCGTCAATGTAAAAATCATCAAGAACTAATTAACGCCCCCATCAAAATTTCGCATATCATCATATTATAATAAACGAATTTAAAATGTTTGTCATTGGAAATTCATGAAATTGAACATATCGAAATCAACTGTAGATTCAAAAGACTTTTAGCGAGACTCTCAACGACCAGACAAACAAAACCGCGAATTACACAAACATGTACGCATAGTTGCAAAGAAAAGGTCGGAGATTTAGGATACCCACGTTAAAGAAGAAGGACCCAGAAGAGGATTTTCCTTCATGGGTTGAAAAGCGAACCTCCCCAAAACCCTAGCGAAGCAATTCGGCGAATTCCTGGGGCAATTGTTAATGTACATGGCGATGACGAACAGTGCAATGTTAGCCACCACGAACGCCGGCACGAGCCACGGAAACCACAGCTTGAACGTTCTGAACTCTGAGAACGGCGAGTGCTTCCTCCGGCTACGCGCCGCCGTAGACGGCGGTTGTACGGACGGGTTGTGCGGCGGCGGGTTAACCACCTTGATCTCCACGCCCTCCCGCCGATCCCGCGTCATTAGAACTTCTCCTTCAGGCCGATTCGATCCAGAGAACAAAACCTGAGGAAAAAAAGACTCGAGCTTCACGACATTGTCGTGCAAACGCGAAGGGGAATCTCGTGTAACGAGAAAATGAATCAAGCGTCTTTGCTGCTTTACAGGTAATTAAATCCTCGCGGAGACGTTAATTAACTATATAATTAAGTGACTCTTCTTAAGGCGAATGCATAATACATACTATAATAAGAATACGTGACTACATACATATATGCATATAAAATCTCCGGCAAGATCCAATTTTCATTAATTAGATTGATTTGATTTGATTTGATTAATGAGGAATACAATGGATGATAAGTCACATGGAAATGAGTCAGATTCAAGTCTTAATAATAAATAATAACCTTTGATTTTGATAATTCACCTGATCTTAATTCAATAATAAAATATTCCTTTCCTTTTCTTGTAATTTCAGAAGATCTGTTTGCTTTTTTGGGCTATTTGCTTTTTCATATATATCAATTAAATATTTTATGAGCAATTGACAGCAAGCGTTTGTAGTCCAACGGTTAGGATAATTGCCTTCCAAGCAATAGACCCGGGTTCGACTCCCGGCAGACGCAGTATCCATTTTATTATTATTTTTGGCTTGGGCATATAACAGACAGGTAACTACTTGAATTGAAGATTGAGAGTGAAGCGAAATTTTCGAACTCTGTTTATTTGCGAGTATAAATCAATCCCAAAAGTGACACTGGAATCTTAGTCATCTTCTACCAAAAAAAAAAGGATCCAGGCAGCGTAAAAGAATCATGCCAACCCGAGAAGCCATGAAAGCACCTTCTCATTCATCAGCTTTCAGTCAGATTCTGTCAGAAGTTGGTCAAGCTATACACCAGAATCCACGCGAGCTGAAACGTAAATGGTTAAAAACGCTCAAGACGATTTCAGAGAAACATTATTGGGCGAGTGATAGACGAAAAACGAAGACGATGAGCAGAAGAAGAGATAGGTGTGCGTGCAGACCAGGAACAGACTCAGAGAAGCAAACAGACCCTCCTGCAGAAGTGCTGCATGACCACCAAATTCTTCCTCATCGATCTTTAGTACCATCGCGTAGTAACTGTATACTATACCAGAGGATAACGCCAGAAATCTGCACATTTGTTACGTTCAAGAATAAACTAACCGAGATGGGTTGAAGAGAAACTAACTCAGCAGATGATGCAATGCAAACATTGGATCTTTCTTTACATATGTCATGACATGAATATTGCAGCCAGATTTATATTTTTTGTATCATTACATGGCGACACTGAACGAGCTAGAATCTTGAAAACATCTATATAGATTGGAGTTTTTTTTTTCTTGCAAACATCTACAGAAGTTCGAAACTTAGCTCAACTCTTTTCCTATATAATTCAAACATCTGAATAGAGAGTGGAAAAGGGAAACAGTCACTGATGTAGCTTATTGTCTAAAAGACAGGAATTCAAGAGACAGCACACCAGCGACATCGAACGACGCCAATTGGCGGTCAAGTATATGTATATCTAAATTCTTTAAATACGAACTTGGGTTAAAACAGGACCTTGGTTTCACCATTTTTACTTGCAAGAAAGATAACTTACAGTAGAATCCATATGCCTCCCACCAAAGGTATCGCACCCCATAGCAACCCGAATACAAGTCCCACCACTTGTCGGATCCAATGCAATACATCTCCTAGTTGGTCCTGTCCCATTAACAATGGCAGATTTTCATAAACCCACGAATTCAAAACAATAACACGATTGATAGACCACATTTTAAGCCAATGCACCAGAGACCAGACCAGATCTTAGTACTCAACTTTTCACAAATGTCACAGGACATTGGACCGTCCGAAGAAGGGGAAAAGAATCATTCCTAATTCAGAAATTCCCTATCATTCCATATCCATAACAAGTCCAATGTCCGTACCGCTAAACTTAGGCTAAAAACGCAGGGAAAGAAACTGGCTTTATAAAGCTCTCAACCGCTACTAAACATTACATTCCAACTTCTACGGTAAAAAAATTCGACAGAGAGCAGATGTAATCGGTTCCAACGACAGAACAAATCGCAAGAACTCAACTTTAAGAGATTTAGTGACCGGGCTTAGACAAAGAAAGCACAATACCCTAAACATCTGCGAGTTATGTCTGAAGGAGAGTATACCTTGTCCCAGGAAGCTTCCGGGTCAAACAATTTGGCAAATTTCGAAGCACCCAGATGGTTGTTTTGGTAGTGCAGCTGTTCATGGTGGTCTTGATGATTCGACTTCGAAGATTTCCCTTTCTTCATATTCTCTATATGGTTTAAAACCCGGATTGAAGCTGGCGTAATTGATCGATGAGATTAGATCGAGGTGTCCAGATCGAAGCTAGGGTTCTTAAAATCTGGTTCTGTGACAACGTTTTATTTCTGATAGAGATCCACTCCTACCGGGAACAAGAGAGTTTTTCTCACTTTTTTTTCTTTTTGAAATCCGGAGTCACGTGCCATACACGTGACAAATAGAGTTGGAGGATGATTTCATGAGTTATCATTATACAACTCGAGATTAAGATAATTACCAAAAAAACCTTAAGATTAAGATTTCGTAAATTTTGTTCAGTAAATCCACCATTATATATATATATATATAATATTGTACTATATACATAAATCTCTTTCTAGATAACCCCTCTTTTTCGCTCAGAGGCTTCGAACCTTGACGTGAAGTTAAATGAAGAGAATGACAAGAAAAAAGACTCTCTCAACTCCACCTTCAATCCCAGAATGATCGTCCTCTCCATGTAGCTCTCTGGTCTCGAAGAGACCTGTCCTTCCATTGACAACCTTCTTTGCTCACTAAAGAATGGAAAGTCCGAAACTTTCGAAGATTCTATTTACATTTTAGAAAAATATCACAATATTACGTCGAGGGGTTTGGAGGGCAATGTCTGTATTCGGTGATGAGCACCACTCTTCCTCAACGTGAGAATTCACGTCTTTCTCCTCAAAGATTTTCTCCGTATTGGATCCAAGATTTCATCATTTGGGTTGGTCCAATGTGCGGTTCTGTTCGTACAAGAACATGGCCAAGAAGACGAGAAGGGCCAAGGAGGAGGCAACCCCCGCGATTAGAAAGAGACCCCAGAAGCTGCTTAGACCCAAACGGTTCCACAAAAGGGGTGCGTTTGGATCAGAGCAATTGCTTCGTTTCCCGAACCATTTCTTCTCGATCCGTCTCATTTCCTCGCTTTCCGTCACTTTCAGGATCGCTCTCGAGACATCGCCCGTCAGAGGAGAGCCTTTGGTGAACGCCTATAGATCAAGAAAGCAAAACTGTTTTTTATACACACCTGTCTTGACTGGTTTCTCTAATCAGTAATCACCTCACCACAAACAATGGAAAGGGGAGAAGTGACTTACAAAGCCAAAACCAGAAGTCTTGAAGGATGGTTCAACCATGGTGTACTTGGAGCAGTGCCGTGAAAGGAGAACCTTCAAGTAGGGCACTTCGTCAAACGCTGCTGCTATACCACCTTTCGAGAAAAGCTCGTCCAGTTCTTCCGGAAACTCATAAGCTATGAGCTTAGATTTATCAAACCCTAGATTTTTCAAGATCCCAAACACGAAGGAGCCTTTTTGGTACCCGACATTGTCTCCATTCTTGACAAGTTGATTCACGTTCGTGACCGTTGGTTGGAGCCGTTGCACCGTGAGAAGCGAAGTCAAGTTTGCAGTGTAGCTTTGAGTCAGTACTAAAACCACAAAGCACCACACTATCACCACGAACCTCGCCAAATTGCTCACCACTCTCTCCCCTGTCATATATATGACAATGTCAAAAAAATGTTTTTGAATCATGAAATTCCACGTAAGAAAGAAGAAAAGATGAAGCATACGATGGGCAAAAACCATGGTGGAGAAAGAGAACCAAATGCTGGTTCCGATCTGATGGTGAGGCGGTCCACGGAAATCTTCATTGACTCTGTGCTCAAGAACCCATACCGTGAATCCGATGAAGATGAAGAAACATGCAGTTGTGACCCAAAGATCCAAACTCCAAGGTTTGAGGAACACCCAAGTGTTATTGTCCTTGTTGTTCTTCCTCAGAGGCACGACCATTGACACTCCAGATTCTGTGTATGGCAATGTGAAATCTACGTACATTGCCCTGCTCGCTGCTATGGTTATGTCTCCTACTGCTGCATCCAAGTTCTGTGTTAGGTATGAAAGACAAAGCATTTAGAGAAAACATGCATTCAGGTGAATGTAAAAGATTTTGATTAGGGACAGAAAGAGAGAAACTCACCTCGGGAAGACCGGGGAACTGGTAATTCTTGTTCTTTTCCGGTTCTATGGGAATGTAATAAGGAGTGATGGCATAAGGCAACCGTTTAAGAGCTGCTTCGAATACATCTATGGAGTATCCAGTCACAACCGTTGAGTTATCATTAGGATCTCTCCTCACCTTCACGAACTCCTCGAAACCTCTCCTAGGTGGGATTCCGACACGTAAATTCTTCTCCTTTGTCGGAATCTCCCATCCTCTCGGAACAGACTTCGACTTCCCCGGCCATATCACTGGAGCCAGGCCTTCCTTGGTGGGACTCAGTTTCTTCACGAGTCCTTTGTTTTGTGTCATGAATCCGATCACTCTCTCGCTGCTTCCATTAAGATTGATGATCTCAAATATTCTAGATTGTAGTTGCCCGCCGGTTACATCGAATTCTCCTGTTAAGCCCATGAATCTCGTGTTCGAGAAAGAGCGGAGAAGGGTTGGACCGTAGCGAGAGACTCCTAAGGATTCAAGATCGGTACCCTTTCCCGAAACGTTCACACCATCAAATCCTAAGTTCATTACACCTGTTTTCTCCACCGCCATGGCTAAGGCAGTGATTGAATCATATGCCCATAACGCGAAAACGTTCAGCTCTGCATCTACAATTCCTGGATTCTCTTTCTGAAATCTCTTCTTCCACCTTAGTCTGAATTCTTCGAGCTCCTTGGATTTCGGAACATGGTTCTTGACACCAAGAACTCCTTGCATGTTTTCAAGGTTCTTACGATCAGCCGATCCCATGAGATGGGTCATTGCATCTGTCAAAATCCAAACATACCCTTCCTCCATCATTCCAATCTCTTTAGCTTTCGCAAAAACTCGAAAACAAAGACGCGGCAACATGTGAATGACAAAAACCCGAGTCTGCATCGTCATTAGCTTATAAAGCTCTTTGCCAATATCATCATCAGATGCATCCGGAGAGATCACGCTTCTGTGAGAAACACGAGTGTTGACGTCTTGCAATGCATCGACTAAGTAAGGCACAATGCCTTCTCCGAACTCATCGTCTACATAAACCATGGCGACGTTTCTCCAACCGAAGAATTTGACGACAGAGGCGATGGGTTTGGCTTGGGAAGAACCGCTGAGAGTTGCTCTGATGAAGTAAGGACTGCGAATGGAAGCGAGAGAAGGGCTCGTGGCCGAGAAACTGATGATGGGTATTTGAGATCTTTTGGTAAGTCTGATCATGAAGTCGGCTTGTATCGAGTTTTGTGGTCCGACAATGGCGATCACTTGCTCGTTCTTGATAAGGTCTACGGCTGCTGGCACCACAAGCAAACACAGCTCTGTTTTTCAGCCTTCTGTTTTTTTATGGTTATGTAACAGTTCTAGCTTTCAATAGAAGCGTGGCCCCAAATAATTGTCGGAAATCAAGAAAAAGTAAACCCTAGGCAACCCTAATTTTACAGCGCAGAGAGAGAGAAAGAGAACCTGCAGCCGAAGCGGCAACGACATCTTTCTTGGAGTCCCTGATAAGAAGGGAAAGCCTTGTGGTGTAGTTGGGATGATTCGCATAGAAATCCGACAGAGAGACGTGGATGGAGGAGAGACAGATCTTGGAGAACGTCGTATGGAGATCGAGAACCACTCCCACTTTCACTTCCCTCGTCGAATTCTGCCCAAACCCAACTCCCATCAGCAAGAAACACCAAACGAAACTAAAGAACGAAGAACACAGAGGTGATTTAGGGTTTGTAGTGAAGTGAATGATCTTCATCTCCTAAGGTTTGAGAAAACTCCGCTCTGCACAACAACGAGCAAGCAAAGAAGACGTCTGGGTTTCCCTTTTGTACATGCTGGCCTTTGGAAAGAGTCGGACTGTCGGAGGGAGAGAGAGAGAGAGAGAGAGAGAGAGAGAGAGATTTACGTGTAAGGACATCTGAATTACACATTTTCCTCGAACCTTACATCACTCTTATTTCCTTCTTATAATAATTTGTATTGAAAACAAAATAAATAATCATATTGTTAGGAAATGTTTCCACCTAAAACATAAGGTAAGTTATAATAAAAGACCAACCTTATACTAACGTAGAGAGAGGGGCGTGGACCGTGGTTGGTGGTGACAACTGACAAGTGACAACAAGTGGCCGTGGGAATATACATGATTGCCTTCCCGGTCTTTTCTCTTTCCGTTGAAAAGTCAAACTTCCCTGATACGAGATTACGGGAGACTATATACGGCATTATTTATATTTATATATAGCCGAAAAAAAAATCCAAGAACAAAGACACGAGAGGAGACCGAGATGGGTGTGAAGCATCAACGCCACAGTGTGAATATGACCATCAATGTGGAACAATCTTCACGCGTCCAAACAAGTTGGGAATAATTTCAGAATTATAAAGTTTTAATTTTGTGTATTTCAGTTTATTGGGGTGTGAAGAACAACATATAGGACGTAAATAAATCATGAATTTACAATCTAGCTAACACAAACGAATTATTACATCAGACAACAGCTGTTTCTTGTTATCCAAGAAACCTAAGCTCCTACCCCGCGGGAATGTGTTCTGCAATTATGTTCCTCATCTCTCTCTCTCTTTCTGTGGGGTCTCCAACTTCAATCTCCACGTGATATTCATCTTCATCATGCTCCACTGCTCCCGTGGAGAAATGTTCTTCCCTCAACACCAACGACGACGACGTTCTTCCCTCCCTGAAGAATGAAAAGTTCGAATCTTTGGAAGGACTCCGCGGACTCTGCGGCCATGGAGTGTTCTGTGCAGTGGAAGGGCTTGGCGGGCAGTGCGTATTCGGCGATGTTTCAATCGCTATCACACTCTGAGCATTCTCACTCTTCTTAAACATATGCGATTTCAAGTCTTTCTCGTTGAAGATTCTCAGCAAAACCGCCGACTTTCTCCACATTGAATCTTGAGGTGCGTCATTGGATTGCTTCCATGTGTGTCTCTGTTCGTACAAGAACATGGCCATGAAGACGACAATGGCTAAGAAGGAAGCGACACCCGCGATCAGAAACAGACCCCAGAAGCTGGTGAGACTCAGTGGGTTCGAGGAAAGAGCGGTGGTTGGATCAGAGCAGTTGCCCTGATTCTTGAACCATTTTTTCTCGATCTGTCTCATTTCCTCGCCTTCATTTACCTCTAAAATCGCTTTCGAGACATCATCGGTCAGAGGCGAGCCCTTCGGGAACACCTATGGATCAAGAAAGCAGAAGAAGATGATCATTAAGCCTTTCAAGTACATTGATCGATCTTTTACTGTTACATTGATTCGGAGGAAAGAGAAAGGAGAGAACTTACAAAGCTAAATCCAGCTGTCTTGAAGGAAGTTTCAACCGTGGTGTATTTGGAGCAGTACTGAGAAAGAAAAACCTTCAGGTAGGGCACTTCGTCGAAAGCTGCTGCTATACGGCCATTGGAGAACAGCTCTTCCAATTCTTCCACCGAGGTGAAAGATCTGAGCTTAGATTCACCAAACCCTAGATTTTTCAAGATGTCGTGCACAAAGGAGCCTTGTAGGAACCCAACGTAATCTCCGTTCTTGATGAGTTGGTTCACGTTCATGACCGTTGGTTGGAACTGTTGAACCGTGAGAAGCGAAGTCAAGCTCGCAGTGTAGCTTTGAGTCAGTACTAAAACCACAAAGCACCACACTATCACCACGAACCTCGCCAAATTGCTCACCACTCTCTCCCCTGCCATTGAAATGTTTCTTCTCAGTTGATTTCTTATTGGCTTCTTTGCGGATATATCTCAGATTGAAATGGAAGAAAAGTATGAACTTACGGTGGGCGAAAACGAGGGTGGAGAAGGAGAACCAGAAGCTGGTTCCGATTTGATGATGAGGCGGGCCCCGGAGAGAACTTACAAAGCTAAATCCAGCTGTCTTGAAGGAAGTTTCAACCGTGGTGTATTTGGAGCAGTACTGAGAAAGAAAAACCTTCAGGTAGGGCACTTCGTCGAAAGCTGCTGCTATACGGCCATTGGAGAACAGCTCTTCCAATTCTTCCACCGAGGTGAAAGATCTGAGCTTAGATTCACCAAACCCTAGATTTTTCAAGATGTCGTGCACAAAGGAGCCTTGTAGGAACCCAACGTAATCTCCGTTCTTGATGAGTTGGTTCACGTTCATGACCGTTGGTTGGAACTGTTGAACCGTGAGAAGCGAAGTCAAGCTCGCAGTGTAGCTTTGAGTCAGTACTAAAACCACAAAGCACCACACTATCACCACGAACCTCGCCAAATTGCTCACCACTCTCTCCCCTGCCATTGAAATGTTTCTTCTCAGTTGATTTCTTATTGGCTTCTTTGCGGATATATCTCAGATTGAAATGGAAGAAAAGTATGAACTTACGGTGGGCGAAAACGAGGGTGGAGAAGGAGAACCAGAAGCTGGTTCCGATTTGATGATGAGGCGGTCCACGGAAGTCTTCGTTGACTCTGTGTTCAAGAACCCAGACAGCGAATCCGATGAAGATGAAGAAACATCCACTTGTGACCCAGAGATCCCAGCTCCAAGGTTTGAGGAACACCCAAGTGTTCTTGTCCCTGTTGGTCCTTAAAGGCACTAACATCGACACTCCTGATTCTGTGTACGGCAATGTGAAGTCTACGTACACCGTCCTGTTCGCTACTATGGTTATATCTCCCACTACCGCATCGAATTTCTGTATTCAGACAAAAGAATGATCAGTTGAATGGAAAACATGGCTCAAGATTTCGATTAGAAGCATTTCAAGAATAGAGGGAGAAGGAGAACTTACTTCAAGAAATACTTGGTAGACCAAGTGGTTGGTGTAGTTCTCGACCGGGGCCTTGAAAGGAATATATTCAGGCGTGACTGAATATGGCAATCGTCTAAGAACAGCTTCGAACACGTCTTTGGAGTAGCCACTCACGATTGATGAATTCGTTCTCGGATCATATCTCACCTTCATGAATTCCTCGAAACCTCCCTTCATCGGAACTCCAACACGTAACTTCTTCCTGTTTGTCGGAATCTCCCATCCCCTTGGGATTGATGTCGACTCACCCGGCCATGTCACAGCCAAAAGGCTCTCGTTTGATGCCGAATAATGTTCCATTGTTCCGTTCCTTTGGTCCAGTTCCTTCACGAGTCCTTTGTCATGTGTCCAGAATCCTATCACTCTCACGCCATTGCCATTAAGATTGATGATCTCAAACACTGAAGGTTGTAGTTCCCCATTGATTATATTGAATTCTCCTGTTAAGCCCTTATATCTTGTGTCTGAAAGTGACCGCATAAGCGTTGGACCATTGCGGGAAACTCCAAACGCTCCAAGATCGGAACCATTCCCCGAAATGTTCACACCATCGACTCCTAAGTTCATCGAGCTCGTTTTCTCCACTGCCATGGCTAAGGCAGCAACGGAATCATACGCCCAAAGCGCGAAAACGTTCAACCCTGCATCATCGGTTTCTGGATTCGCTTTCTGATATTCCTTCCTCCATCTGATTCTGAAATCTTCAAGCTGGTTCGAGTTCGGGACATGGGTCCTGACACCAAGAACACCTTTCATATTTTCAAGATTCTTACGATCATTTGATCTCATGAGATGGGTCATTGCATCGGTTAGAATCCAGACGTAACCATCCTCCATCATCCCAATCTCTCTGGCTTTCGCGAAAACTCGAAAACCAAGACTCGGAAACATGTGGACGACAAAAACCCGAGTCTGCATCGTCATGAGCTTATAAAGCTCCCGAAGAATCTCGTCATCGGACGCATCCGGAGAGATCATGCTTCTGTAAGCCACTCGAGTGTTTACGTCTTGGAATGCATCGACTAAGTAAGGGACAATGCCTTCTCCGAACTCGTCATCCACGTAAACAGCGACAACGTTCCTCCAACCAAAGGATTTGACGACAGAGACGATGGCATTAATTTGGGAAGAATCGCTGAGAGTGGCTCTGACGAAGTAAGGGCTGCGGATGGAAGCAAGAGAAGGGCTCGTGGCCGAGAAACTGATGATGGGTACTCGAGATCTTTTGGTAAGTCTGATCATGAAATCCGCCTGCGTGGAGCTTTGTGGTCCGACAATGGCGATCACTTGCTCGTTCTTGATCAGGTCTGAGGCTGCTTGCGCAACAAGAAAACACAGCTCTGTTTGTCAGTCTTTTGTCTTCGTAGGAGAGAACCACTTGTACTATTTTGATTAGGAAAAGCGGATATGGTGGGTTCTTGATTTCTAATTATAAGACATTTACTAATATCTTGATTTTTGTGTGAAGTATTTCATTCAGTTTTGGCCACACAAAACGAGTCTGAATAGTCAACAAAACTATCCCATTTCACAAAAAAAAAAAAAAAAAAAACCTTAAACCCAAGCATTCATTCAGTGTCTTCAAATCTTTGGTTGTAATTTTTGTTTTCAAACCTGCTTACGTAAAAAAAATAAGTGTGTGTATATGTGTAAGAGAGAGAGAGAGAGAAAGAGAGAGGGAACGGACCAGCAGCCGAAGCGGCAAAAACGTCTTGGTTGGAGTCCCTGATACGAAGGGAAAGCCTTGTGGTGTAGTTAGGATGATTTGCATAGAAATCAGAGAGAGAGACGTGGATGGAGGCGAGACAAATCTTGGAGAACGTTGTACGGAGATCGAGAACCACCCCCACTTTCACTTCCCTCGTCGAATTCTGCCCAAACCCAACTCCCATCAGAGAGAAACACCAAAAGAAAAGCGCCAAGGAACCCGCAAGTGATTTGGGTTCCGTGGTTGGATTCAAGATCTTCATCTCCTAAAACTTGGAAACTCTCTGCTCAAAGAGCGAGCTAGAAGAAGATCCCCTTCATCTCCCTTTTATACGTATAGAGGAAGACAGCCCATTTGAAGGGGTCAAAGGGCATGTCAAGTGATTACGTAGACGAAACTGTAGACGAAATTTCTTTGTAAATTAACTCATCTGCCGCGAATCTTATATCACTTTCCTTTCCTTTATTATATCCTATTAATTAAAAAAACACCATAGTTGATCTTGGTTGCACTTGGGGTGTATATATATATATGTTCCAATACAAATACAATGTAACAGTATCCCAAACAAAACGGAGAGAGACGTGGTTGATGGTGGCCTGGGATTTAGCATATTAAATATAATGCATCCCCATCTCACCATTGACCAAATCAAATCTCTTTTATACATACATATATATATAATTGGCCATATTGTTGAAATATGAATAATAATATTATGAATGTCCATATCCACTTTGCTTTCCAGAGTTACATTATCTCTTGATTTTTGGATAACTTTTTTTTTTATAACCGATCTGGGTCTTCAGATCCAGAGTAGCCTTTAGAATAAGGATATAGAGAGCAACATCCAACCCCTCCCTCCCCATTAACTGTTTTCGAACCGATGATCGGAGACAAAAGAGCAAAAATTTAAATCTTGTCACGTTACGATAAACTTGTTCGAATAAATCCGCAATTAGTTAGTGTATAGATACGTAATATGTGATATATAGAGGTGGATGGATTTAGGATTTATGCGCCACTTAAAATAAGTATAGTTATTTGAATTTATGTATATAAAGTAATAAAACCAAACAGTGGTGTTATTAAGATTCCAATATTAATTGTCTTCTAGAATCCTGACGGGTTGCGCAAGGCCATGATACATACATACCGTCGCGCGTTGAAGAGGGAATATTACCCAAATAACCCACTTGGGTCACATTAATTTCAGGGTACACCACCCAAAAAAAAAAAAAATTTTTTTTTCAATTTTAACCCACTTTTCGGATGAAAAAGTCCAAAATACCCTTTTCGTTTTATTTTTTACGACCTTTTTGCGACTAACATATAACTGATATACAACTAAAATAAGACGGATGATTTTTTTTGCCACCTTTTTGTAACTATATTTAGAATTAATTACGAAGTCGTAATAACGAAGTTGTTTTCGAACGGATAAATATCGTGATTCATTAAGGGTAATTTCGTCTTTTTACGGAGAAAAAAATGTGTTATATTTTTTCTGGTGTACAGGTGAAATTCATGCGACCCATCTGGGTCATTTGAGTGAAGAACCCCTCAAAGGGCTCACCTCTTACGGGAGACATCTCGAGGGCAATCTTAAACGTGACTGAAGGAGAAGAAATGAGACAGATCGAGAACAAATGGTTCAAGAAACAGAGCAATTGCCCCGATCCAAACACTTCTCTTTCGTCAAACCGTTTAAGTCTCAGAAGCTTCTGGGGTCTGTTTCTAATCGCGGGAGCTGCTTCGTTCTTGGCCCTTTTCATCTTCTTTGCCGTCTTCTTTTACGAACAGAGGCACTCGTTGAACCGATTCTACGATGCTCAAGATTCAGGGTGGAGGAAACTCAGGGCTCTGTTAAGAATCTTTGACAAAAAAGACATGAGCTCACACACGTTTAGGAAGAGCAGTGACGATGTTCATAGCGTGATTTCCGTCGACAACACGCATTGTCCTCCAAGCCCTTCGACGTCGCAGAACACGCAGTGTCCGACAAGTCCATGGACGGCCAAGAAGATGAAAAGGGCCAAGAACGAAGCAGCTCCCGCGATTAGAAACAGACCCCAGAAGCTTCTGAGACTTAAACGGTTTGACGAAAGAGAAGTGTTTGGATCGGGGCAATTGCTCTGTTTCTTGAACCATTTGTTCTCGATCTGTCTCATTTCTTCTCCTTCAGTCACGTTTAAGATTGCCCTCGAGATGTCTCCCGTAAGAGGTGAGCCCTTTGGAAACGCCTATGGATTCATGAAACCAGAAGCAGATGGATCAAAGGGAAATCAACTTAACGCAAGCTTGGTGTCAGCGAGAGAGGAAAGGAGGAAAGAACTCACAAAGGCAAAACCAGCAGTCTTGAAAGAAGGTTCGACCATGGTGTACTTGGAGCAATGCTGAGAAAGGAGAAGCTTCATATATGGCACTTCATCAAAAGCTGCTGCTATTCCGCCATTGGAAGTTCCTCTGGTTAAAAGCTCGTCCAGTTCTTCCGCAGAATCGTAAACCCTGAGTTTAGACTCATCAAAGCCGAGATTCTTCAAAATTCCAACCACAAAGGAACCTAACTGGTAGCCGACATAATCTCCGTTCTTGATTAGTTGGTTCACGTTCGTGACTGCTGGTTGGAGCTGTTGAACCGTGAGAAGCGAAGTCAAGCTTGCCGTATAGCTTTGAGTGAGCACTAAAACCACAAAGCACCACACTATCACCACGAACCTGGCCAAATTGCTCACCACTCTCTCCCCTGCCATTGAAATGTTTCTCAGCTGATGCCTAATGGTTTCTTTGTGGAAATATCTCAGATTGAAATAGAAGAAAAGTATGAATTTACGGTGGGCAAAAACGAGGGTGGAGAAGGAGAACCAGAAGCTGGTTCCGATCTGATGATGAGGCGGTCCACGGAAGTCTTCGTTGACTCTGTGTTCAAGAACCCAGACAGCGAATCCGATGAAGATGAAGAAACATCCACTTGTGACCCAAAGATCCCAACTCCAAGGTTTGAGGAACACCCAAGTGTTCTTGTCCCTGTCGCTCCTTAAAGGCACAAGCATGGACACCCCAGATTCTGTGTACGGCAATGTGAAGTCTACGTATAAAGATCTGTTTGCTACTATGGTTACATCTCCCACTACAGCATCGAACTTCTGTTTTCAGGAAAGAAAGCCAAAACATTCAGAGAGAAAAGAATGATCAGTTGTGAATGGAAAATGTCGGAAAGAGAAACCGATCAGCACTAATAAGAAGGTTTAGGATCTGACCCCAAGATAGATTTGGTAGATCATGTCACTGTAACTCTCATCTGGTGTCTCGAATGGAATGTATTCAGGAACAATTGAATATGGCAATCGTCGAAGAACTGCTTCAAACACATCTTTGGAGTATCCCGTCACAATTGTTGAATTTGTGCCCGGATCTCTCATCACCTTCATGAAATCCTTGAAACCCCTTTTCACCGGAACTCCTACACGTAACTTCTTCACGTTTGTAGGAATCTCCCATCCCCTTGGAACAGACGTTGACTCCCCGGGCCATATGACTGGAGCAAGGTTGTCATTTGACACAATTGCCCTGTCTGTACGGTTCAGTTTCTTCACCAGTTCGTTGTCACTTGTCCAAAATCCAACCACTCTCTCGCCATTGCCGTTAACATTGATGATCTCAAAAGTTGATGATTGTAGTTGCCCTTCAGTTAGATTGAATTCTCCTGTTAAGCCATCGAATCTTACGTCCGAGAGTGATCGCTGAAGCATCGGACCATAGCGAGAGACTCCAAAGGCACCAAGATCGGTACCGTTCACCAAAACGTTCACATTATCGAAACCTAAGTTCATAACATCATTTTTCTCCACCGCAGTGGCTAACGCGGTGATCATATCGTACGCCCATAACGCGAAGATATTCAGCTCAGCATCTACAGTTTCAGGGTTCTCTTTCTGAAATTTATTTCTCCATCTGAATCGAAAGTCTTCGAGTTCTTGAGTTTTTGGAACGTGGGTTCTGACGCCAAGAACGCCTTGAATGTTCTCAAGGTTCTTATGATCATTGGATCTCATAAGATGTGTCATTGCATCGGTCAAAATCCAGACATAGCCTTCCTCCATCATCCCAATCTCCTTAGCTTTCGCGAAAACCCGAAAACCAAGACTCGGCAACATGTGCACAACGAAGACCCGTGTCTGCATAGTCATCAGCTTATACAGATGTCGGAGAATCTCATCATCGGATGCGTCTGGAGAGATCACGCTTCTATAAACTATACGAGCATCGGTTTCTTGCAAAGCGTCAGCTAAGTAAGGCACAATCCCTTCTCCGAACTCGTCATCTACGTAAACCACGACGACGCTTCTCCAGCCGAAGGATTTGACGATTCCGGCGATGGCCTCAACTTGGGAAGAGTCGCTCTGAGTTGCTTGGACGAAGTAAGGACTCCGGATGGACGAGAGGAAAGGGCTCGTGGCCGAGAAAGTGATGATGGGCACTCGGGATTTTTCGCCCAGCCTGATCATGAAATCGGCCTGCGTGGAGCTTTGTGGTCCGACAATGGCGATCACTTGCTCGTTCTTGATCAGGTCTAAGGCTGCTTGCAGCACAAGCGAAAACACGGACTCGTTTTTCAGTTTTTCTTGTTCTTAAAGAGAAATCTGAACCCTAGTAGTGAATTTTGTTAGAAAAAAAACATACGGTCTGAAATATAGCTTTTTTTATTTCTTGATCTTGTTTTTGTTGATAAATATTTTGGTTGGATAAGCCAACAATTGTCCTGTGATAAATACTGTCCCCAATTGAATAATTGTCATACTACCTACTAACTATAGTCTATATTAAATAAAAATTAGTTAGTATATTAATTAAATGTTATTTAGCGCGTAATGTTGACTTGGAAAAAGACAGGAAGGGAAAAGACTTGTCTGGGCATTTGGACTCGAGGATCTAACAGCTTGGAGTTAGTTTTAATTACACAGATTTGTCTGATATTCCGAAGAGTAACAAAATGATTTACATGCCTTATCTTATTAGCATAGAACACAGTAAACCCAAAACGAGCGAAAACAATTACAAACAAATGTGTGATTCGTTTTTTTTTTTTTTTTTTTTTGGGGTGCATCCAAAGATTCTGTGAGTTTCCAGCTTCCATGGAAGCGTATCTCCAAAGTGATTCGGGATTTTGCTCGGATTTCTCACATTAATTAACCATGTATAGAACATTTTCTTGTGCTCAAGAACATTACGTAGCAAAGAAGTTATATATATATATAGAAAATTTAACATTTTCACAAAACTAGTTAAGATATTGCATTATTAAAAAGGAGTTTAAATAAACGGTTTAATCTATTTTAAGAATATTTTTTTAACTTTACAAGACTAGTACAATAAATATTCCCAAACTAAATAAAAAACAATAAAATAGGGGGGAACGAACCAGCAGCCGAAGCGGCAACGACATCTTTGTTGGAGTCCCTGATAAGAAGGGAAAGCCTTGTGGTGTAATTAGAATGATTCGCATAGAAATCCGACAGAGAGAGGTGGATGGAGGAGAGGCAGATCATGGAGAACGTCGTATGGAGATCGAGAACCACCCCCACTTTCACTTCCCTCGTCGAATTCTGCCCAAACCCAACTCCCATCAGAGAGAAACACCAAACGAAAGGTGCCAAAGAACCCGCAAGTGATTTGGGTTTGGTGTACTTCATGGCCTTAATCCTAAGATTTAGGAGCCAAAGGAGGGAGGCGCCTTTATCTCTCTTTTAGTCTTTTATGCATGTATCATAGCAACAAAAAAAAAACAGGTAGAAAAAGTCAAGGGATAGAGAGAGAGAGAAAGAGAGAGGATTTTGAAAGCATTTACGTCATACGAAACTTCTTTGTAAATTACACATCTTCAGCTGCCAATTAATTAAAAAGGAAGATTTGGCAGATATTGGTGGCACTTGAAGTTAAAGATCCCATACAAAAAAATTATTAAATATCAAGTTAGATAATATTTGTGCATAGCGAAATTTTTACGGTTATTTGTCGTTAATCACCGACCTATATCCAGTCCATACTTTTATGATCTATTCTTTTACGTTAGACTATGTTGTACGTAGTTACACGCGCGCGCACACACACATACATATAAGTACGGAATGCATATGAGTGTAACGATGATAAATTAATAGTTATTAAACTAAATTATATAAGATTTTGTGTTGTGATAACAAGTTATATATGTAGATATATAGATACACACACACATACAACGGTTTTTATAAAGTATTAATTAGAGCTTATTTCAACAAAAAGATGTAGAAGTAAAAGTAAATAATCCCAAGGAAACAGACCGGGGACGTGCTTTGATGGTGACAGGAGATTGGAGGATCCTATTTTAATTTTTAACCCATTCCCCGTTGACTTTGACTAAATCAAAGAAAATCATTTCATTACCAAAAAAAAAAACAGAGAAAATCATTTTAAAATTGGGTCGTTTAATTTATGCCTAGTCAAACCACCACCTCTATATTCTTTTAATTATTATCTTCGTAAGACGAAGATTATTCGTACCTTTAGATTTATTCTAGTGCGATAAGCATTTTTTTTAAACCTTTTGGAACCTGATTATGGAAAGCTTACGATTACAGAAGAGTCTGAACCACGCTGCTGCGGACCAAACAAGAACACAATGCTGACGTGGATAATATTTGGTCCTTTTACAAAAACTTTGAATATCTTTTGTCCTTTGTTTTGTTTCATGTACGGACATACAAACGAGTCGCCATGCGGCCATGCAAATCTTCTTCACAGAGAGTATGATAGGTTCGTCCATGGATATCTAATGGGCCTACGTGAAGAAAATCTCGGCCCAATTCTGAGCGTTTTAAAGTGTTTCTCGCGTTCAGTTGATGATCTCTCGTGATATCTAATGGGCCTACATGAAGAAAAGCTTGGCCCAATTCAGAGCGTTTTAAAAGGTTTCCCGCGCTCAGGGTTGATGACACGTGTGTATCCTACGTGTCAATTTCTAGATCACTCCGACAGTTTTTCAAAAAAAAACAAAAACAAAACCCAATTACATCAAAAAATCAAATTCACAAAAACAATCACTTATAAATCCAATTCGCCTTACGCGTCGACGGAAGCGTGTGTGAGAGAGAGAATGGATAAGGACTGGAGGTACTACGGGGGCGACACGGTGGTTGTGTCGGAGGAATATGGCGGCGGATGCAGGACGCCGACGAGAGAGGACTGCCGGATACCGGCGGAGGCGCCGTGTCCACCACCGGTGAGAAGGAAGAATCCGTTGTGGTGTGGGAAGAGAAGGGGGCCACCGCAGAACGGATTTTTCCGGCCACCGGACCTCAAGATTTTCTTCACCTCCGCCGCAAACAATCGGCCAGCGAGCTGCGCTCATATCACTAATCTTGTTCGTTGAGTTAATTTAATTGTGTTTTAGACTGTTTAGGTTTGATTTTGTGACGAATTCATATTATTATATGAATCTGCATCACTGGAAAGTTAGTTGTATGGTCTCATCTGTAAGCATATTGACACCAAGAAAATAGTTTGTTTGTTGACTAATTAATTACACAGACTCAAAAGAAATTATCCTTTAATATTTAATAAAATTGAATATTGTTTGAAGAAATTCTTAAACCTAAGATTTAAGATGCAAAAATATATTAGCCTGATTCCTTAAATCAGTGGGCTCAGGGTCTCCGTCCAAAAGTTATTTGGGCCGTTAAATCTCAGTCCAATCCGGCCCATCACGATACGGGCTTGGTTTGAAAAGATATTTTTTTTAAAGAACTAAAAATCCAGTTGCCGTGCAAGTGAATCTGGACTTCAAGAAAATTTAACATTTTCACAAAACTAGTTAAGATATTGCATTATTAAAAAGGAGTTTAAATAAACGGTTTAATCTATTTTAAGAATATTTTTTTAACTTTACAAGACTAGTACAATAAATATTCCCAAACTAAATAAAAAACAATAAAATATAAAGATTGAGACCAAACATTAAATGTTGGAGGATCAAACCTCGCTTACATATATATATATATATGTACAATTATGTTCTTATGCTTTCCCGGGAAACAAACAGAGCTTGAATCATGCCCACGTATATAGTTTAAGTTCATTATAAAGAGTTAAAGTTTTTTTTTGTATAGAAAAAAATAATGTGTTGTATTAATGTTTAGAATCCAAGATCGAATAACTCGCTGTTTTATCGACGTTTACATATAAAACTATAACATGCTAATATAATGCGGTGAAAAGCATATTCTAATTAAGCATGTTGGTTCGCCGCACAGATTGATAGATAGTGGGACAATTACGATGTCGTATTAAATGAGTCGTTGCCTTGATTAAGATTTGAGTCATTAGCCTTACAACGCATGCGTCGGTCAACTAGCTACAGACTCGTATAATTATGACGGGCCGGAAATTAAAATTCTAAAAAGGAACGAAATCGATAAAGTGCCATTATTTTAATCTTATCTTATGCGTGCTTAATTTTGTTTATCCACAAATCAAATCATTAAAATGTTTTCGACGGTAATGATTGCTATTATGGCATTTCTCGGCAGCTAAATCAATCAGTGGCTCTCTATTTACGTCAATATATAGAACGACGAAACACCCACTTCATACATTACAATACTGATTCGACCTCTAATAAATTGATTAAATTCTATACCGCCGATTATAATTTATTTATTTTTATTCATTTTTTCTATTTTTTTTCCAAAGTTTTCAGATAAAAAATAGATATTTACCCAGTGGAATATATTTTTAGGGTGTTCACAAACAAATAAATAAATAAAGACCATTTTTTTTTGAAAATAAAAACAAATTAAAAGTAATTGTATGTTAATTAATATAATTATAACGTTTTGGTTGTATAATGCAAACAAACTAAAAACTTACTCGTCTGTTCGTCCCGATATCGAATTTTAAATTTGAAGAAGGAACGTATATTCCAAATCATATCATTGATTTCCGATTCTTTGATTAATCTGAATTTTGGTATAAGATATCCGATTATTAAAAAAACTATAAACTTACTAAATTCAAGAAAATGGCACATCAAATAAAAACATGATCGAGCATCTTTGACTATTACACTTTAGTAAAGGTTGATAAATGGACAAAAAAAAAAGCTTAGTGAATGATTAGTAAAAAATGAAAAAAAAATGTACATAGTATCCGAGAATCAGACTTTTCTAAACCTAATTTAGCAAGAAAAATAGTACAATTAAATATTAAAACGAAAGAAATAATCGCCTAACGTGCAGTGTATCATAACATACCATGTGACTCAAGTTTGACCAACCTGTGCGCAATGTTTGACCCATCAAAAATAAATCCCCGGTGGTCAAAGAATCTCCACCAGTAAATATTAAAGCATCTAATAAATAAAATAAATTTCCAGGCCACTTTTCTTTTTAGAAATTTAAGGATACAGTCACATGACATCTTTTAGAAAAATTATACAACGGTCCATGCATTCATACACACTAAGATTTCTGCCACTATGACAAACAACATCATTAAAAGAATATCGTTTTAGTTCAAATTTATAAAATATATTTATTTCTTATACGTTAAAAAATTAACCATGTCTCCTCTTTTTTCTTATAATAAAGTAAATCACATGGTTGAGAAATATTTTAATGATTTATGAGTCTTCTGTTATATACTGAGCAATAGGTTTTACGAGTTAATTGCTAAATTTAGTATATATATATATATATATATATTATTGTATCGATTATATTAAGCTTTGATTGATTGTCGTGACCAATCATTTTGACGGTCGAATTTTGTGGTGATTGCTGACAACCAATTTAAATAGATTTAAACAAAACGAGATAATTAATTAATCTCGTGGTGTAGTGGCAACTTCTAATAAACATTGCATTGCAAGTGGAAATGCTTGACCGGTCAAATTATCCAATTAATAAACATGTGAGGTAATTAAAAATACCACTTGAGTCAGTTATGTACATATGGGAGAGTGATATATGAGTGTATATATATAATTTGTATGGGTGTGAATTTATTTTTATATAGTTGGATCCAACATATTCACACATGGTGCAGTAATATAATATGAAAAATGTACTTGTGTTTCGATTTCCCTTTTTGAAGAAAAAAATTTACTGCCCCAATGTTACATTTCTATAGCTCCAAGTTGTCATGTCCTGAATTTTCGTCGAACCACATGGAGATAAGATTCCTTTACGAATCATAGATATTAGTTTTTAAAAAAAAATCGAATATTTGAATTTATCGAGTTTGAAAATTAAAATCTAAAGAATTAAACATAATTAAAATTTTAAATTAACCTATAGAAGTTCTACTTATATAAATAAATGATTTGAATTTAAGTAGTTTTTAATGATAATTTTCAATTAATGGAGCATTTTTTTTTTGTTGAGTTAGAATATTTGGAAATTCTTGGATAGAGATTTTAAATTTGGAAAGCCAAAAATTGGGGGGAATTATGGTGGGGTGCTGTAGATCCAGGCTGTTATAAGACACGAGTGAAAAACACACGTGAAATTATTAGAAGGAGCCTGTCTTCTCTTGGTCACATTTAAATCCTTATCACTCGCAACCCCATCACTCTTTGCCCCTTCGCTCCCAAAACCAAACAAAACATTTACGATATCCATTATTTCAATAAATGCATCGCCATTATCATATACTATTTCCCTTTATGCGATCCCTTCCATTTACATGTTCCATCAGGTCACTGTTTTTTCTTCATATACATACATACATACATATATATACATATATATATATATCTACACTAGTAGGTGAAGCAAAACCTACTCGAGCTATATGTTGGGATCTCCCTCATGTGACGGTTTAAATGAAGGTTTATGATAACAAGGCATATGCATACATGCATGTGTATGTAGAGGTGTGCAGACCATACGCATATATATGTGTGTGTATATGAACGTACGACATTGGTGCCTCCAGCATTAATGGCGGATCTCAAGAAGAGAGGAGGATTTCGAGAATGTGGAGATCTTGTGGTAGTGAGAATAAGACCTCGAGTTCTCGATGATTCCACCAATAATATCTCGCCACGTCAACAAGGAATAATGCCTCTAGAGATACGCCATCTTAGTTAATACGCATAATTAATTAAAACATTAATTATATCGTCAACGCTAAGTAAAAGCTTAAGCCACCCACCCCACCTTGCCAAATCTGTAGCCCCAAAAATTATTTGAAAGGTTCAAAAATGAAATAAACTTATAAAAATTAGTGTCATGTATATTAATTAATATTATTGATGTATCTGTAAATATAGAAACATATACCAAATATACCTTTTAAAAATGGATCAGAGACAGTAACTAGTTCCTAATTCATGTCGATCTTGTAATTAATTAATAAATTTAAATAACGGAATATTCATTATTTCCATGGTCTCGTCTCTAGTATATGTTATCTTTGGCAGGAACTACATATAAGCAGAAACACACTCTCGCTCTCTTTGCACTCTCTCTCTCTCTCTCTAGGTCACTTTCTCTTCTTCTAGTTCAATCACCACAAAAAACCCACAATCAAATTGTAGAGAGAAAAAAAAAGAGAACAAAGACCCATCAATCATTAGTAACCCTCCATCAGAATCCGAAGCTCTCGGCAACAAATACATGGATGATAAGTGGAAGATCTTCAAGAAAGATTCGTCGTCCTCTTCTTCTTCATCCAAATCCAAGTTCACCAGAAGCTTCTCCACGAGCGCTTCATCGACCAAGTCCCCTGTGTTCGTACGGAGCTCCTCCACGAAATGCTCGGTCCCTTCTTCCTCGACGTCGTCTTCTTCATCTTCTTCGATGTCAAGAAGCTTCTCCAGGAAAGAGAGATCAGGATCTTCCATAACTCAGAAGTATAGCAGCTTGGCCAAAGAACAGAAGGCGAGGTTTTACATCATGAGAAGGTGTGTAGCTATGCTTGTTTGTTGGCATAAACATGGAGATCCCTAGATCAGATTTTTTTTTTCTCTTTTTTTTTTGGGTTTATTGTAATTAGATCAGTTTATTACTGAGGTGGCTACAAGTTTCCATAGTACATCGTAAGAAGAGATTTTTATTCATAAAATTTAGGGTTCCTCTGCTCATTTCTGTCCTCTAAATGCTAATATTTCTTTTAAATTTATCTAAACAACATATGGCAGTGGCACAGTGAGAATATATATATATATATATGTCACACCCACAAACATATATATACACATATATGTACGTGTCTTCGTCTATTATTTTCCTCTAGACATAAGATATTTAGTGTCTGCTATCTGATAAAAAAGATTAGAGGCATTTGTTTTTGGGTCGACAAAAGATTGAAAACATTAAAACATTGAAAGTGCAATGTTATGATACAATATCTGGAGAGTATTGATGTATCAAGACGTACAATATTTTTGTTATGATTTACATGGAATTGTCACTTTCAATGGGCGTGTAATAAATATTGAAGAAAACAATGTTTATATCATGTATCTGCTTTACGCGTGATTTATGAATAGATGCATGCAATTAACCTAAGATTAAAAAAATTTACTAGATAGGCCCTCTTGGCACGACTTTAATGTTCTTTTACGGTGGTGATTAAGGATTTGAAATCTAACAGATTAGACTTCAAACCCATTTTTGAAAACGACATGGAGTATTATTAAAGTCTATTACCCAATAATAATCGCATACACAGAATGATGATGATGATGATGATGATGATAATGATAATGCGGTCAATAAAGTTGCATATGATGCTATAGATCTTGCAAACGCCAATAATGTCCGGAGCTGTATCCATCTTTATTTTATCGATTTATTTATCTATTTTGCATTTTGTGGCAGTATTGTTTCTGCTTGCCTTCTTGTTTTTTGTCTCTTTGACGGAAAAAAAGATTCCCTCTTGCCAAATAAAAATTCTATAATATATATATATATAATTCAAATTGTAGTTACTATATATTGTATACGCTCGTACTTAGAAACTATTCTGCATTATTGACATGAAATCTATCCTTTCACTTTTAGGGGGAAACGTTTTTAAAAATATATACATATATTAGGGAATCCAATGGGAAGTCATCGACCACTCGATCTTTATCTCTTTTTGAATCTGATCATAACGTCATGATCAGTTTAAAAAAATATCATTGTGGATATACACAAAAGATTACGTTAAAGAGATATAAAGTTCTAGAAAACCACAATAATTATTAAAAAAAATTTACTTCTTTTATTTGATGTGAAAAATATCGTGCAGAGAAATTATTACCGCAACAAAGCTCTTTCAGTTTCACTCTTCTTACAGACGCAGAAAAAGAAACAGCAAAATAAAGAGAGAAGCAAAATTCAGAGTTCTCAGGTGAAAAACCAAACGCAAAAGGACAAAAGGAGGAACACATCAGGAATCAAGTGCATAATTTACGAGAGAAAAAAATAAGGTGACGTGGCGATGGTAGAGCCGTTGGATCGGTCAGAGTCAACACTTTGGGAAATCGGACGGTGGAGGCGGGAGTTTCTGATTCGGAAGGTCTCCATCCAGGACCACCCAAGCCATGGTCAGTCCCCAACTCAGATGAATTTCGATGTGGCAATGCATCAGCCATACACCTACCGTCACAAATCCAATATATGGATTATTAAATTGTGAAAGTTAGGGTTTTTTTAAACCCTATTCAAAATTCAAATCAAATAAAAAACAAAAAAGTAAATCAATTCGAATTAGACCAAACGATTTGATCTATAAATGTATTCTAAAGACATACCGGGGTTATCGGCGCGGAAACGTACGGCAATCCAGCCACCGGCGGGGACAAGGGCGGTGTTGCGTTCGACCGGGTCGAGGAGATTGAACCGTTTCGGGTCACGGGTCGGGTCGAAATTTCCGAACCCTTGACCGACCACATAGAAATTGAACCCATGAAGGTGCAGAGGATGTGACTCAGCACCCAGAATGCTCGTGTCCTGAAACACTAACTCGACAGTTGTGTTGTACTTCAACACCACGACCTTTGTCCCCCTCGCGACCATCGTGTTGTTCGGTGGCATCCCCGTGTAATTAAACGGAAAAATAGGCGAACTCGGAAAGTCGGTCGTGAATACACGATTGGATTTTCCAAAGAAATACGATCGCAACAATGACGTCGTGTTTGGTAACACGAACGACACGTTGTTGATGGACGCCGCGAATTTCGTGCCGTTGGGTCCTTGGCATGTTTGGTTCTTCGGACAAGGGTTTGTCCCTAAACCGACCGTGAAAAAGAATTTCCGGTCCACGGTTTTCGGTACGTCAACCGGAAACTTAGAACTCGCTAGACTTCTAAACATGTTTGAAAAATTCGCGACGAAGCCCGTGGCATTGATGGCAGGAAGAGCAGGCTTCAGAACGGGCCGAGTTTTTGGAGAATTCGAAGCCTTACGTTCGTATTCGAGAATCCCGGCGACGGTCGTGTTATCGATAGTGCCTTGACCTACGAAGTAAGTTCTTGCCAGCATGAAAAACGTCGCGTTCGGAGAAACGTGTTTGGTCTTGAGCAGAACGTTCGTGGTCTGCCCCGGTCCGATGACGAGGACATTGGTTTTGAAGGGCTTAACATAGCTGGCATCGGCTTCGACAACTGTCAACGTGTGATTGGCTATGCCGAAGAAGAGTTGGTCATTGAGTGCAGCATTGATCAGTCTCAGGAGATATGTCTTCCCCGGTTTCACCTTCAACTTGTATGTATCTATATATCGATGAAACATTAGTAGTTCACATGTTGGGATTATTTGTAAGTATGGTATATTCACAAAAAAAAAAAAAAAAACTTGTCTTTTGGGGGAAGATGTTTAAAAAAAAAAATTACCTTTTGCAGAACAATTATATAATGGGCCTGGAAGCCCATTGATGGTGTGGGCATCTGAAGCATTTGGGCCTCCACCTGTCTGAAGAGCCTGTTGAATCACTGCCTGAGGATCAACATTGAACCATTCCCCTACACTCGTACAAATTACAGTTCAAAAACACTGATTTTAGTGATTTTTTTAAAAAAAAAATATTATTGTATCGATGGTGTAAATAAATGGTATATGGAGTAATATGGGAGAAGAGTACCGAAGATAATGGGGATCTGCTTGTAGGGCTTGGGGAAAGGGTAAGAGTCGTGGAGTTTGGGAAGGATGATCAAGGGGCCATACACAGTGGCTCTCACCCACGTGATGTGGGCGTGCCACCACAACGTTCCTCTTTGCCCGGTGACCGTGAAGTTGTACACGTAACTCTGTCCTGTCCGAATTGGACACTGTGTTATATAGGCTGGTCCATCCGCCCATCCACTCCTTAGCTGTCTGATCCCATGCCTACGTACGTCCATTCGTTAATTAAGGTAGAGTAATCATTATACATATATATATGGCTTATCTAAACAGAACATGTTGGTGCCGGTTTTATTACATTTTCACTTTTGTTAATCATAAGCTCCCATTAAAATATATCTTATACCCTGAAGAACGTGTTGTTTCGAATGCAGTGATGTGAACCCGGATAATTCAAACCAGAGGTTAAGGAGCACGTTAATTAAGTGTCTAATTGTGTATATATATTACCAGTGGATGGAGATATTGGTAGAGACATGATTAACCACTTTGATCAGTAGATTGTCTCCTTCTCTTGCGATAACCCTAGGCCCTGGGAATTTCCCGTTCACCGTCAAGATCGACCTTGTCTTGCACAATCTTGTCACGTTTTTCAGTTGAATCTGTCGAAATATGAATCGAATCAAAATGGTGTATATATACACTCTTAAACAAAAGAATTGCATGCATGCATGAATGAAACAAAGAATATTACGTACGTCGAACTTGTAGCGCCTGGTGATTCCCGCAGATGCTACATTAACATGGTTACTTATGGCAATGAGACATGCCACAAGAACATAACGCAAAACCCCCATGTTTAGCATACTCTCTCTCTCTCTCTCTCTCTCTCTCTCTCTCTCTCTCTAAAAGTAAAGATATTTTTCCTTTTTTTTTTCTTTTTTTTTAATATATATAAACCTGAGTTGTGGTGCCTGTGAAACCACTGGAGAGTGTTGTGTATATATAGAGGCAGATAAGCTCGTGGTAGGGCTAACGGTCGGTTGGTCTAGTAAAATATTTCAAGAATTAAAATGATAATAGAATAAAGTTTCGTGTTATTGGAAAAGAATATAATTCAGTCTAATTGATGTTTTGGTTGGTCCTTTTTGTTGGACTGACCGAGTGAATTCAAAGTTAACCAATTAATTAAGTGGGTTATCCACACAATGTGTGATGATAATGGGCTATACATGTAGTATATAATATCTACCAATAAAATGATGATTTGTTAGAGTTTGATAGATAGAACAACATAACCATGATAACAACTAAAACGAAGAAACACACCAATTTAAAAAAATTATATTTGGTCAGAAAATTTTCTTGAATTTATCTAAGGTGATGTTCTTAAGATTTTTCTTTAGAATGTAAATACGATTTGATTCGCTTGAATTATATGAAACTCGAGATGATAATATCTCTCTCGTTCCTATGCAAAATCTAGATGATGTTACTTTTGGATTCGTAGGTTGTATATTAATGATGCAGATTGTTTTCCTTATTGTAAAAAAAGAAATACAAAATATCAAATATTATCTTCTGTCGACCATCCCGAAGTATTTTCCTATTATCAAATGTTATTTTATATAAAAGAAAAAGCAAAAATTGATAGGAACAAACTGCTTACTTAAAAAGAATTTAGAAGATATTTATGGTGGAACAAAGAGGGATTAGGAAGCAAGTAAAGAGAAATGAGTGCAATTATGGTAAGGATTAGTGGCAAAGGGAGGACCAGAACTACATGGAACATGCACGTCGTTGGTTGTCTGAAAACATACGTTCCAACTAAAACCATTTGGTCTTATGGACACAGACAGGACTTTCCCCAAAGTCTCCTGCAAGACTCCATACGCCCTTTGACATTTCACCCGACTCACCCATTCCTTTCAAGCAACAACAGACAGCGATCCACGGATCGTGATTAAGCCTTAATTAAAAACGTCAGATTAATATGATCTCACAAACCCTTCTAAAATATCAGACCTTCGAAATCCGTCGCATCTATCGTTAAGCTGTCCATGTTTACGTCTCATGTATGCTTATGGGAATCTAGAATCTCGACAAACCATATATTATAAATTCAATTCAATTATATACGATTAGGTTGCCAGTGGTGTGTTGCTCAAAGCAGCAAAACTTAGGGATAACGTTAAAGGGAAAAAAGAAAAGGAAAAGGCAAATGTGTGAACATGTGGGATTCAAACCAAACACAGACACAAAACACAGAACACAACTGTGGTAATTGAAAGATCCTAATCATAGGTATATTGTTAGTTGCAGGTTTACCAACTTCAACACTTCTCTCTTACTGTTTTTATCTTATATGTGTCCCCCAATGACCCACGTCTTCCAACAAAGGTACAAGATTGGCTTTGGTTTTATTTTTAATATCGATCACCAGAAGCATTGGAATTGGTATAACTACGCATGTTATTAATAAATAAACTCCTAATTTCTTTATATAATAAAATAAAATTGTAGTGATATGCAACTCCATATATATAAATATAAAATTCGTGTAATTCCTAACATAATATGACTAAAAATATTTTTATGACGGCTAGAATGTGGTCTTGGAAGAACACACGAAAACTCATTTTTGACATGTTTTGTTTTTGTATCCTTTTAGAAAAAAAAAAAAAAAAATCTAGTTACCAACTAGCGAATTTTCCCATATTAAGGTCACGAGGTACATACAACATTACTCTATTTTACGAATATAAAAAAAATGATTTGATCCAACGGGCCTTTATAATCACAACTCAAGTTGGTCCCAAATGGCCCAAAATAAAGCCCAAGTCATCACAATGATCCAATACCCCGGTCGCTCAACCCAATTATGAAATTAAATCCCATTATATGAAATGGATTAGTTGGTTTTTAGCTTAGATATAAAAACATGTTTATCAAAACAAAAAATTTTCTACATGTATTCATGCCTTCATTTCGTGAATATCTCGAAGGAATATATAGATGATACTTTTCCTCACGTGCTGCTTTTCGGAATTATGAATGCTTCATGAGGAATTTGGTTCAAATGTTTTTGGAATAAGACCAAATATGAGATTAAACAAGAGATAAGACTAGCTTAGGATGGGAAACGCCTCCATAATAAATTTAAATTGATCTCTAAAAAATCATGGTAAATTTACTATTTCCCCGGTTATATATACATATATATTTTTTCTGGATTTGCTATTGGGCTTTAGGGAAAAATGCATGAAAACAAAAATAAACAGATCCGACAAGATTTTGCAGTGTACTTTGTTCCAGTTGTGCCCTAACCCCAAAACTGAAGCAAAGAACACGCAAGATTTTATGAAACAACTAACTGAACGTATCTGTCTGAGATTCCCCATCTCTTAGACCAATCTCCGTAGTTAATAGTTATATATAGTTTTTTAATTAATTAATTAATTAATTAATATTATTATTTCCTCGACCTAAACCTTGGGTATCCAAGTTTTGGATATCTAACCGTCACGAGATCAAAACCAAATATCTCGACCTAAAAAAATGTGAAGAAAACGGGGACCGAAATAAAGATTCTCCAATATATAGGTAGACCGCCATTGGCCATTCGCTGTAACGGTAATTTGCAGTAAAGATTTTACCATCTTTTGTTTGTCTTTATCCGTTTACCGTTTTGCTTGCGATAAATTTCGGAGCTTTTTTTTTTTTTTTTCCAGAAGATCTCTCATCGAATGCGATTGTTATTTATTTAATCTCTTACTTAAATGGGCACAAAAAAAAACCCTAAGGGTTCTTGCATCGCCGCCGTATTTTTATCAGCCGTGAACAGCGTGTGTATATATATTTTATTTCTCGTCGGCTTGGTTTTCTATTTTCAGGGGTTTTAAACGCCTCAACATGGAGCTCCAAAATTGATGAAGTCTTTCGCCTGGGGAGACGATCTTTCGGGTTCTTGGTGGAGAGATGGATTTGGGTGTTTATTAAAGTTCTGATCTTCCTTAGTTTTGATCGAGAAAAATCGGGGCTTGTACATATCGCGTTAGAAAGTCTGATCTTTTAGGATTATATAGAGTTCAGCGCCTGACCTTAGGATCTGGGTGGTGACTGGTTTTTCTTTTCCGATTGACATATAATCGGGAGGGAGTTCAAATCGATCTCGGAGGTTTCTGGTTTAGGTTAGGTTATCATCCGAAGTGGGAAGAAGACCGATGCTTGGTGGTGGGAGTGAATTTGAGGAAGATATAGGAGTTTTGCTCCGCGAACAGAGGAGGCAAGAAGCCGATGAGCTCGAACGGGAGCTGAACTTGTATAGAAGTGGCTCTGCCCCTCCCACTGTGGACGGTTCCCTCAGTGCCGGTGGTGGTGGAAGAGCCAATAACGGAAATGGGTTTGCTTCTGATGACGAGTTTAGGAGCGATCCTGAATATTTATCTTATTACTATGCTAATGTGAACTTGAACCCAAGGCTTCCTCCTCCTTGTATGTCTAGAGAGGAGTTGAGGGTTGCGCAGAGGCTGAAAGGCACTGTGGCAGACGGTATTGGAGATAGAAGAAAGGTTAATGGTGGAGCTGCTGCCAATACTAACAGTGGGAACCGATCTTTGTTCTCTATGCCGCCTGGGTTTGAGTCTAGAAAGCAAGACAACCACGAGTTTCAGCCTGAGAACGTTAGCGGTTCTTCTGAGTGGGGAGGCCATGGACTGATCGGTTTGCCCGGTCTAGGTCTTGGAAGCAAGAAAAATAGTTTTGCTGAAATCTTTCAGGTTGGTTAAGTTCACTTATTCTCACTTTGTATCCTTTATCGTCAATTATGTTTCTTTTTTCTGCTCAATCTGTTATAACTTTGTCACTTCCGTTTGCTTCTTCTCTAGTTTATGTACAATGAATTGGTTCTGATATTTGTGCAGGATGACTTGGGGCAAGGATTTGCTGTCCCACAACAACCTTCTCGTCCTGCTAGTCGCAACACTTTTGATGAAAATGCCGATTCTGCAAATAACCAGGCCCCATCAGGATCACAACCTTCATATAGCTATGCAGCAGCTCTTGGTGCTTCTTTATCAAGAAGTACGACTCCTGATCCTCAGGCCATTGCCAGGGCACCCAGTCCTTGCTTGACTCCCATTGGCAGCGGGAGGGCCAGTGCCTCTGAGAAGAGAAACTTAAATAACCACACCTCATTTAGTGGTGTTTCATCTGATCTTGCTTCTGCTTTATCTGGCATGACTCTCTCAAGCAGTGATGGGTTAGGTGATCAAAGTCAGGCCAAGCAGGATGTGGAAAAGGTCAGGAGCTATATGTTTGAACTACAAACTGGACATAATGAAATAAAGCAACATGGATTTTCTTCAAGGAATTCACACCTGAAAGGATCACAGGCATCTGCCTTTAATGGTGGAGGTGCACCAGCCGGTTCGTATCATCATGTTGAAAACCAGAATTCGTCCATCTCAAACTATGGTTTGAGCAATTATCCATTAAACCCTGCTGTAGCTTCTGTGATGGCCAGTCAGCTGGGGTCCGGCAACTTCCCTCATCTATATGGCAATGTTGCTGCAGCATCGGCTTTGGGATTATCTGGAGTAGACTCTAGACTCTTTGGAGGTCAAAACCTCTCAGAATCGCACAATCTTGGCAGGGTCAGCAATCAAATGACGGGAGGTGTTGCACTTCAGTCTCCTCTTTCTAACCCAATGTATCTTCAGTACTTGAAGACTTCTGACTATGCGGCCCAGCTGGCAGCCAACAATGATCTTTCAATGGAGAGGGGCTTTCTGGGTAACTCATACATGAACTTGCTTGAACTGCAGAAATCACAGTACAAGTCTGGGGGATCTAATCACCATGGCTATTATGGAAGTCCAACATTTGGGTCCAGCATGTCTTACCCTGGCAGCCCATTGGCTAGTCATGTTATTCCTGATTCTCTTGTGGGACCTGCTAGTCCTATGAGAAGGAGCGGAGTGAATATGCGATATCCGTCGGGGATGAGAAACTATGCTGGAGGGGTTATGGAACCATGGCACATGGATACTGGGTTTGGATCCTCGTTGTTGGAAGAGTTCAAGAGTAACAAGACAAGATGTTTTGAGCTTTCAGAAATAGCTGGCCACATTGTGGAGTTCAGGTAATCTCACCTGCTGGTGTCCTTTGAGGTTCTTACTGCTTCTGTTTTGTTTTTAGTTGTCCGAACTTGGGCGTCTTCTAGATTTTTGTTATATGAGCAGTGCAGATCAGTACGGAAGCCGCTTTATTCAGCAGAAACTTGAGACAGCCACTATTGAGGAGAAAAACATGGTTTATGAGGAGATCATGCCCCAAGCTCTCAGCCTGATGACTGATGTGTTTGGTAATTATGTGATTCAGAAGGTACTGACTGATGTTGTCCTTTTTCCCCTTGTGATTTAACACCAATTTCATGAAAGCCACCTGAATGTGCTATTTCCTACAGTTTTTTGAGCATGGACTTCCTTTACAAAGGAGAGAATTGGCAGAGAAGCTCCTTAATAATGTTCTGCCGCTTAGCTTACAGATGTATGGCTGTCGTGTGATCCAGAAGGTATTATTTGCTTGGCACCTCTGCCTTTATGAAGATCAAGCCCCATGTGGATTTTGACCTTGTCCTCCATGCTTTTTTAGGCGATTGAGGTCGCTGATTTGGACCAGAAGATTAAGATGGTGAAGGAACTCGAGGGACATATAACGCGATGTGTACGTGATCAGAACGGGAACCATGTGATTCAGAAGTGCATTGAATGCGTACCTGAAGAAGATATTCAGTTTATTGTCTCAACGTTCTTTGGTCAAGTTGTGACTCTGTCCACTCACCCATATGGATGCCGGGTCATTCAGGTTTCACCTTTCTATATATGTTCTCATAATAGTATTGTATTCCCTCTTGTTTCTTAGGAGGACTTCTTGTTTAATCCTGTTTATATGATCGCAGAGGATATTGGAACGCTGCCATGACCTGGATACGCAGAGTAAGGTTATGGACGAAATCCTCAGCTCTGTCAGTATGCTGGCGCAAGATCAGTATGGAAATTATGTTGTTCAGGTTTGTAAGATTATGATGATTCAATGTAGCAGTTCTCATCTTGTGTCAAGCTTTGTTTTCATAAATTTTTTTCCCGATACATGGTGGTTTTGCTGAAACTGATGTCACTGGCAGCATGTGCTGGAGCATGGAAAGCCGCAGGAGCGCACTATAATAATAAAGGAATTAGCAGGAAAGATAGTTCAGATGAGTCAGCAGAAGTTTGCGTCGAATGTGGTTGAGAAATGTCTGACTTTCGGAGGTCCGGAAGAGCA